GTGAGTAAACGCAAAAGTTTGTTTCCGTTTTGAAGTGCGTTATTTTATTTAGATTTATCTTAGTTTTTGTTAATATTCATATACTCATGAATTAGAAAAGAAATAATTATGGGAGGATAGCGCGGTATTCGCTCTCTAATGCATGCATTTAGGGACGAGAAAGCGTGTACCTGTTGTTTTGGTTCTCTCTCTCTCTCTCTCTCTCTCTCTCTCTCTCTCTCTCTCTCTCTCTCTCTCTCTCTCTCTCTCTCTCTCTCTCTCTCTCTCTCTCTCTCTCTGGTTTTCCACTATATTAACTGCGTGAATTATACATATGTCATGTTCATATTGTTCACGTTGTTATTTTTTTATAGATAGACGTGACTCATTGAATTTAGATGTAATTATAGAATGTCTAGAAAATACAGCCAACCGTATTTTAGGCCTCTGGATAACTACCCCTGTGGAGTTGAAGTCACCACCGCTTTGATGACTGCACTTCTATGGCATTCGGTCACTGTCACCTACTTTATCATTCACAGTATAGATAACTTCGATAACTTTTTTATTATTTATTTTTCTTACACTGCCTGGGATTCTTTCAAACAAATACTTCAGTGTGTCCCGTTACTCTTTAGCGCTTCCATCCTGTTATTATTATAATTACATACATTCCTCACTTTGTGTTTGCAGTAGTTCTACAGTGATGTACCTTATAGCTTTGTATGTTTTATATATTATTTATTTATTATTTCTGTGTTTATTGAAATGCTCATGTCGTGCTAGTTCACTAAGTATTAGCGATAGACTGTAGAAACTGACCATCTTTCCTTTCGCTTCAAAAATACCTTATGATATAAATAAACGCAATAATGTTAAATGGTAGATAAAAGATAGTAAACCGAATAAATTAACGCAAAATTGGAAATCCTTCGACATTATTTTCTACTTTATTCCCCTGTCTATAGAATACGACAGTTACTACCCCCCCCCCCTGCCCTTCTCTCTTCTTCCAGGGACAGACTTCTCCCTTCTAATACCCCTCCCCCACCCCCTTGCGTCTTCATGCAATTTGTAATTTGTAAATTTGATATCTAATATCGAACAGTACAGCAATAGTTTACAGAAGTCATCGTTAAGAAAGGAAGGTAAATCATTTCACCATGACCCTCTCTTTCTGAGAGCTCTTGGAACCTAAGCTATTTTCCCATCACAGCTCCCATCCCCCTAGAATCCTGGTTATTGTCAGTTGTTTTTATATCCTTCTTTTGTCTCCCCCTCTTCTTTTGCTTTCTCTAATACCTCCTCTACTTTCCCCACTTCTATTCCTGTTCTTCTTCCCACTCGTTCTATTCCTATTTGCAGTCGTTCTCATTATCACCTTCCCTCCTTCCCTTTCTTCTTGGTCCTCATCCTAATACTATTACAATCAATACTACTCTCCATTGTCGTCTTCCTCACCGTCCCTCCCCCCTATTCTTCTTCTTTCCTTTATTCCTCCTCCTCCTCCTCCTCCTTATCTCCTCCTCCTCCTCCTTATCTCCTCCTCCTCCTCCTTATCATCATCATCCTTCTCCTCCTCCTCTTCTTCCTCTTCCTCTTCCTCCTCCTCCTCCTCCTCCTCCTCCTCCTCCTCCTCCTCCTCCTCCTCCTCCTCTTTCTATTCCTCTTCCTCTACCTCCTTCTCCATCTTCTCTTCTTTCTCCCTTCCTCCTCCTGCCTCTTCTTGCGTGACTGTCACAGGGCATCGGCCCCTGACAAGAAGGCGGGAGAGCCAACGAGAGTATGTTGAGAGTCATTATGCGTGAAGTTTGATAAACTCGTCTGCCCACTTTCACTGGTTTGTGCTTTGTACGTGTAAGAATCTGTGGCGGGGCATGTTTGGCTGTGCCTGATGTGATTACGTAATACTGGCTGCATGTGTTTACGTCTGTCTGGTACGCGCTTGTCTCTCTCTCAGAAGCGAAACTTGTGTACCATTCTAATTTGTATATTTTTATCGAAGCTTCTGTCACAGTGAAAGCTTGATAAACTGAAAAAAATCAATATATCCTCGAAGGCACTCGTCATTAGCCAAGCGTCAGGGAAGGAAAGTTTTGTGACCACTAATCGAGGTCTTGCCAAACACCCTGACAGCTTTTAGGAGTCGATTACCGGCATCGCTGATTAGTGAGGGTCACGAAACACACGCACACACACACACGCACATACACACACGCACACACACACACAGAGAGAGAGAGAGAGAGAGAGAGAGAGAGAGAGAGAGAGAGAGAGAGAGAGAGAGAGAATGAGAAAGAGAAACGGGACACACACATACATGTATATATGTATGTTTGTGTGTGTGTGTGTATATATATATATATATATATATATATATATATATATAGAGAGAGAGAGAGAGAGAGAGAGAGAGAGAGAGAGAGAGAGAGAGAGAGAGAGAAAGAGAGCGAACGAGCGAGCGAGTGAGAGAGCGAGAGAGAGCAGCATTGCCTAAGGGCACACGTCGCCGTTGAATACACACAGGCAGACGCGCGGACGTTTTCTCTGATGTAATTAACCGCTGATTACCAAGGTGATGTCAGCAAACGAACTGACGTGATCCAAAGCCTAATCGCCGTCGGCTCGGAGGAGGGAATATATGTTCATGGTCGTTTTCGTACTCTCTTGTGTGGGTCTACATGTTACCTTTCAGCTGTGCTAGCCTTTGTTTTTTTTTAATCATTTGCTCTTTTACATTTATCCTATCAAAGGGAGTATGTGAACAGAATGTCCGTGTGAAATATTTTCGGACAAAACATTCGCTGTCAGTTTAACTATGAAAAAAATCCCAACATTACCTTCTCTTCTTAAAACTATATGATTTAAGATGATAATGTAATGGAGGCTGGCTAACGAAGAAAGCATTGCTCAACCGTTGTCCTTCAAGGCCTAGTGGATGAAGGCTGTAGCGATCGCGTTTCATTAAGGAGGTATTTCTTACGTGACAGGCTGGGGTCGCAGACGATGGCGTTGGTGCTGACTAGGATTTACCTTTGCTCTACATCTGATTAATGACAACATGACGACAAGCCTCCAGCTTTCAGGAACCTGATGTATAACTCAGTCCCCCAACAAAGAAAAGAATATTTTAGAAAGGCGATATATTCAGGAAGGCAACATTGCGATCAAACACTCTTTTGACACCACCCTCATGGAAGAAAGAGAAAGCATAATTTTGCGGATTCTTTATTTAGATAGTTCACATGGAGCCCACTTATTATATCGCTGTACCTTTCTACTAGTCAAGGTCACAAGAGTATCTGCCCTTTCGCGGCCCTGCAGGCGTATACGGCCTCTTACTTTTTTCTCACTTTTTCTTAAGATTGTATTCATGTTACGTTTACTTGCCGTTTTATATATTTAATGTGATACACATATGTATTCATTTAATTCACTGCCTAAGCATAATCTAAGTCCTGACTCTTAATCGTTCCTGTCTTGCTTGTTCCGTTCAATAACCAAACAGAGGGGCGACCCTGACCAACAACAGCCTTGACAGCCTAAGCGGAACGCCCACAGAGCCATCCCCACCTGCCTCTCTATCCCGTCACCGCGCGCTCAGGGGCGGCGGTCGCGCGCTCAAGGGTGAGGCTGACAGAAAGCGAGCGTTTGAATCCCAAGCAGATCACAGCCGAGGGTGAAAGCGATTTAATGTTGATTAGAAAGTGGTGGATATTGGCTCATTCCCGCGATAAAGGCCAGGAAATTACTTTGGACTCCATCAAAAGCCGGTAAAAAAGTTAGCGGTCAAGCGCTCACTCGTGCCGTTTGTGACATTTGCAAAGTCACGAAGCCTTAGTCCTCCTTTATCAAAGGTACTAAATATTTATCCACCAGCTATTCAATATGAATGACTGAATTTGATGAAAAAACAATAGATAATAGATTACGGTGGCGTTACTGTAAAATAACTGACAGCGCTTGGCAAAGCAGAACACATGCTAAAATTAAATTTGTGGTCCAGCATATATACTTTCTGTGAGTGTGTAGATTCCTGGCGAGTGATGAATACGATGAACAAGATGACCAAAAGAGAAACGTAACCATAAGTAGAATTAGCGCCATATTGCACGGCCGCCAGCTGCATCCCAGCTTGCGTCTTCTCGCTCGCCGTTACCCGTTTATAAGAAATTATAAGATATTACTTATTTTCTATTTTTTTTCCTTTGGAGGATTAGTGTATTCATCTTTATTAACGTTCCTGAATTTGTGTGAGTGACTTATATGCTATGTGTTGGACTGTTTCATAAAGGGGATTCTGGAATTTTAGGAAGCAACCCCTCTCCACACACACACGTTATACATATAATAAATTCTTATAATTTTTCTCATCGTATCAAGATCGGGACTAAGTGCCTCAAAAGTCGAACCGGGTACATGGCAACCATAGTCGGGTCTGGCAGCGCTGTCACGACCCTGGAGCCGAAGCTTTCTCTCCTTTCTATAAATCGCCAAGTGACACAGCGTTTTAACAGGTGAGTGAACTGCAAGTGGCCGCCCGCGCTGTTGTCTCGGAGCTCCGACCTCTTGAGTTGGGGAAGGGCGGCGATGTTTGACTAGCTTTTGCCGCAGGGAAATCCGGTTGCCGATTGAATGACTTCATGCAGCTTGATTTGTACACAAGAAAACGCCGAACCTGCAACATCTGGTGTGGAAAATAAATAAGTCGACCTGGCGAACAGATTGAGTATTTACGTAGTCACGAAAGCATGGCAAGAAAACCAGACCTTTCTTATCTTTCCAGACCGTGTCTTTAAAATGACCATTCCTCCTTCAGACTTTCCTTCGCTTGTGTGGTCTGCGTTGAGTAGGAACCGGTTAGCTAGCGGCATGGCATTCCACCTCCCTCGACCCCTCGCCGCTGTGCTCTGACCTTTTTACATATATGTTCGCAGGAGGAACCAAGGAACACTACAATGCCTGTCTGATCTTTTTTAAAGACGAAATTTCGCCCGTTAAGAAAAGGATATTTCGCAAAC